TGTTGGTGTCATGTATCAATCTTAGGGCAGGGTCTAAAGAGAGGGGTACTTAGCCTGGGGGTCTGTCTGTGGGGTCTGTGAGCTTGTACTTCTAATGCTTTATAACCGTTTTCAGGCTTTCTTTGTCGCTTAGCCAGACTGCCCAAAGGGTCCAAGGCACCAAGAAAGTCAAGGGTCCCCAGGTGTCCTTTGCACAGAGTTGGGGGCTTTCTGACGTCTCATTGCCAAGAAGGAAGTATTGTTGGGCCCAGACATAACATGGCGTGAAGTATGTTAGCATACAGAGTAATGTAGGGAGGAGTTTGCTCTGTAGAAGAGCCGGACAGGTGCTTCCTCTGGGCCCTTGCTTGGTAAGCCGTGAGAAGAGTACAATGGGGGGGGTTCTGTGTCTGCGGTCAGAGGATGACATGTGTGTCACACAACCTCACGGGGCACTTGCTGCTGCAGGGCCACCCTTTTACACTTCCCTCATGAACTCACTCTTGCTGCTCTTCCAAACCTTTTCACCCTCCCCAAACCTCCCATTGCTCCCACGTTCCTCACCCTCTCAGCTGAGAAGCTTGCCTCATATTTCACTGAAAAAATGGAAGTCACCCTCTGTGAGCTCCCTCCTCTCCCCTCTTGAGTTCTTATCCTGCCGCAGGCGATGCTGGGGCATCCTCATCTATAAAATGGGGATGACAGTGAGAACACCCCCTCCCCGCAAGAGAGAGAACTAGTTACTGATGGGCCCTCGGCTGTCTCACCTCCATTTACTGAGAACTAGTCTGATGGTGTTTCTGAGGCTGGGCAACATCGGGCCACCCCGTTATATCTTCTCAGAAAAGAGATTGTATGCAGATGGTACAGGTAGCAGTGGCCTCAGGAAGGCCTCTGAGGGAGGGATGGACACAGGAGGCTCCCCTTCTCAGCAGCCTGAGACACCTGCTGGTGTCCATACTCCGTCTACTGATTCCGATCACACGTTCTCATCGTGCACAAACTTACCCCACCTTTTTCCCCAAAACTTGGATCTGAGAGGCCTCCACCCTGCCTCCCAGCCCCATCTCTAGACGGTGCTGTCCTTTGTGTACTCCTCCTCCCCCCAGCCCAACCCTTCTACTCCCTTTTATGCGTTTGCTGTCGTTCCCCACTAGAATGTTAACTTCTGGAGGACAGGAAGTGTCTCGCTTGTATCTGTACCCCTAGCCTTTAGTCCAGTGTTTGCACATGGTGTGCTTGTAATAAATGCTCTCTCTAGTCTTTCTAGGGGATTGACCCGACTGAGTAAAGGCCTCATTCTGGTCCTGCCTGTCCACCTAGTACCACTGAGCCTCTCCATCTAGCATTTTTCATTCCTTACTTTTCCAATCATCTGTATATTTGCTCATGTCTTTTACCCCACAAATCCTGAGCAAGATGAAATTGATTACTAACAGAAACTCAAGAAATGCTAGAATACCTTTATGTTACCTGTGGCTGCATCCCAAGTGTATACCGTTGAGCATGACATGGGTCGGGTGTACCAGGAGCCCTTTGGGGTTCAGGCCAGCAGACAGCACACAAACCCTAGCCAGGATAAACAGTCACTCACATGAGCAGGGGAAGCAAAGGAAGATGAGGCCCTAAAAAGAAAGACCTAGACAATACTCCAAGGCAATCCTTTTAGATTCAGAATGGTATATTTTTCTACCTTGCAATATAGCCCATGGGCCCGCGGGTTTGTTTTGGGGGAAAAAGGACCAGAGAGGCCATTTGCACCACACATACCTGAACAAGATGTTTGCTGCAGTATCCCTGATGAACGGGTATCCAGTCTTCACTAAAAAACCCTCCAGGCATTGGGGACCCACGAGGCAGCCTGTTTTGTGTCCATCTTCCATCACTCAGAAGATTGTTCTCATATGGAACAGAAATCTGCCTCTGTGTTCTTTCCCTGGTGCTGAGAGCTCTGCTGTCTGAGGCCAAATTTATGCTGCTTCCACCAGATTGTCCTTTACCCGCTTGGGGCCACCAGTCATATCCCCTAAGTTTTCTCCCTTCAGGCTAAACATTTCTCCTTATGTATAATGGCAAGGCCGTCACCATTCTGGTGGTTTCCCACTGGATTTGCACCCTCTTGTCAGTGCCCTTCCTAAAATGTGGCAACTAGGACTCAACACGGCGTCGGTCAGATGTGTCTGACCGGGAAGCACAGTAGGACTGTCAGCCCCTTGGCTTTGACTCTATGCTTTTCTCAACACAGCCTAAGATTGAAATGGGGGTTTGGCCACCGTGTTACGCTGCTGCCTATAGTATTAAATTTGCCGTCCACGAAACTCTCCAGCTTTTTTTCAAACAAACTGCCTTCTAGCCATTACCTCTTCCATCTTATACTTGTGAAGTTGAGTTTTTGAACCCAAGGGTCTGGGTTCCAGTATCAGATTTATCATTTATAACCTGTGTGACCTTGGGCAGTTCACTTAGCTTCCAGTCTCGGCTTCCGTCCGAGGGGATTAGACTAGACTTGAAGGTCCTTCCAGCTCTAGATGTAGGAGCACGTTAGTTATTCATCCTAGCTTTGTGTTGTCATCTGCAGTTCTATTAACAATGCCATCCACCTCTGCCTTTGCAAACCTTCAATTCCTTATACATGACATGTATAATGACTGACAGTCATTATTGTTACCCAAGGATGGGGCCAAAGACATTAGCCTTTGGTGATCCTGTCCCTTTAGTTCCAGCCACTCAGTAGGTCCAAGCTCTCCTGCCTGTGAAGTTGTCTGACCCTCATGGCTCCTCCTGTCCACCAGACTTATCTGTCTGGTCACTCGGGCACAGGGGAGTGACTGGTTCTCATAGTCATCAACTCTTCTTTCACTGGTTCTTCCCGAACCATCCACTTAATGTACGGCTTTGTCGGGAATCAAAGTTGAGCTGTCCATCGTGTGGCTTGTGGATTCTGTTTCCTTCCCTTTTACTTTTGAAAATGGGACTTTTGCTTTCTCAAGTCTTTGTAGCTCTTTCTCTCTCATTCTCTGTAGGCTTTTGAAGGTGCCATCAGCTTCCACCTTGGCAGGTTCATTCAATAGCCTGGGGCGGTGTTCATCCAGACCCAGGGATCTGAATGCCTTGAGGGCAGTGAAGCGCTCTTCTGCTCTCCCCTTCCTGCGCTTGGATGTTGACTCCGTATTTTCCATTATTCTTTCCTTCCTATTGCACAGATGATTCTCCTTGGAGAGTTCTGTCTTCTCAGTTATCTTTGCACAGTGCCTGGCACATAGTAGGCACTTAATAAATGTTTATCGATTGGTTGGTTTTCTGTTACACATGTAACGATTGCCTTTGTCAGATCTTTCCTTTAGTGTAGCTAGTATAGTTTCCATTCCTTGTCAGCCGCAGGTATTCAGAGATTTAGCATTCCTGACGCTGTTCTTACAGCACCCTGCTGTGTTTTTTCAGTCATCCTGTTCCCTACCTACCATCACTTCCATCCACTGGACTTGTCTTTCTTACATCTAAGTTGATCATTGAGTTCTCCATGCAGGCACATCTTTCTCTAAATAATTCTTCTTTTGCTTCCTCATTGAATTACTTTTTTTATGCATCTCAAGATTTCATTCTTAAGAACTTTATTCCTGGTCAGATTTTTAGGTCTTGGGATTCTATTTATCTTTTCTCTGAACCATTTTCAAAAATCTCTAGTGACTGTCCTCAGTTTTATTCTCCTTCTTTGTCATGAATTCTAAGAGGGGAATGACCAGTCATTTTTTTCTAAGGGTTCCTATCTTTTCTGCCTCACGGCCTAGTTCATCCTTGCTGTGCAGAATCAGGTCCAGAAGAGGTATTCCCCTTGTTGCTTCTTCTGTCTTTTTGGAGATAACATAGCCTTTAAGGCAGCACAAGAGTATGTTAACTGCCCTGTTTTTGCCAGAGGAAGAACTCTAGAAGAAGCCCAGATATTTGACGTTCTCTATCCCTGGCATCATTGGCAGAATGTGTCACAGATGTGTTCCACACATTACTTAAAGTCCTAAGAAAAGATCAGATATCTTTAGATGACAACATTTTAAAAATTAAATTATTTTTCAATGAACAAAAATCTTTTTTCCCCCAAATTTTCTCACCACTGGGGAAAAATAAAAGAAAAACAAAACCCCTGTAACAAATATGCATGGTTAATCAAAACAGATTCCCACATTGGCTGTGTCCAGAAAATTTGGCTCATTCTGCACCCTAAGTCCATCACCGAGAGTTGGTGACAAGGAGTGAATGCTATGCATCATTGTCAAGATGGCAGCCTTCTGATGGAGGAGGGCAACTGAGAGGTTAAAGGACTGCGAGCTCTAGCACACAGTGTCCCTGCGTGGAGACTTTTAGGGCACCATGTGGGAGGATTAGTTGAAGGAACCGAGGAGCCTGAAGACGAGAAGACTTGGGGGGCTGAGTCACAGGACTGTATTAGCTTGATGTGTGGCTGTAATGATCAAGCTTGGCTCTAAAGAAGAGATAGGAATGTGGCTCCCTCCCTTCTTTGCAGACCAGTGACTGGATCAGTGCAGAGAATTCCCTCCTCTGCAGTCTGTAATTGGAGGGGGCATTGGGAGGTCAAGTGACACTTGCCAAAGGTCACAGACCAGTGAATAAGGCTGGCTCTCTATCCACTCCTACCACACTTTACCTCTTCTTGTGTATATGGTGCTAGTTGTATTTTTCATTTAATCATTTTGCTTTGTCATTATTTCCAGATTTAATAGCTCCAGAGGTGGCCTCCATAACTAGGGATTGCTTAATTGGTTTTCCATCACTTTCTAGTAGCCTCTAGATCTGTGGAAGTCTGAGTTCCATCGCTGTCAAATCCATCTGTAGGTCTGAACTACATCGTTCGGTTTTTCTCTCCAGAATGCCTTACCTAATTGAGTCTGCCATCACAGGACCTAACAGGTTGATTAACCAATGGAAAAGTAGCCAGTAACAGTCACAGGCCCCAATGGCCCGAGGGGAGTTCAGTGGTTTGTTTTTCCTTAATCTTCTTCAATCAGAAATTGGATGAACCTCCGGGATGCTGAGACAGGGAAGATCCTTTGGCAGGGAACAGAAGACCTGTCTGTCCCTGGGGTGGAGCATGAAGGTAATTTCAAACTCTTATGCTGGGGCCTAGGGTAACAAATACTAGTTAGGTAAAGCCAGGTTTTCGGGAATCTGAGCTCAGAGCAGGCTTTAGAGTTGGATAGCCTCATAGAAACCTCAGCCTTTGGATCTGCCTGCTTCAGAACATCACCTTCTTCTCTTTCTCCTTCTCCTTCCTCTCCCCTTCCCTCCCACCTGACACCCAAACAGGCAAACCCTTCCATTTGTCATGGTGGATCATGTCATTACACATGTTAGAATTCTTACCGAAGTCTAGAGACCAGGAGCTTTTAGCCTCTTCCATAAGAATCTGACAGTCAGTCAACAAGTCTTTATTAAACGCTTGCTGTGTGCCCAGAATTGTCTGAGAGAGGCAAAACCAGTCCCTGCCCTCAAGGAGCTTACATTCTAGTGAGTAAGGACTAGGGATGTGGGTGAGAGTGATCATCCTTTGCTGTCATACAGCTCCCTCCCTCCCTGCCTCCTTCCTGGGAAATCCCCAGGAGCCTCAGAAAGGGGCCGTCATAGCTGCTTGCTCCCACCAATCTGGCTGGCCTGGAAGATCAGCCTGTGTTTACTAAGGTGACTTTTAAAAAGGTCCTTACTTTTTTTCAAGAAGAAGTTGATGATGGTGATGTAAATTGGAAGCCCAAGTGACTAGCAGAGTGAATCCTTAGCTTTCGGTTGCTACTTTCCTGTCCAGAACCGTAATTTCTTTGGGCACAGCAAATGGTACATCACCTTAGTGAAGGCGTAGGGACAAAATCCTGATGCCTCGTTGATTTTGGGCAGTCAAACAAGCTCCTTTCTTTTGTTTGTTTGTTTGTTTTTATTTTTAGGCAGTTGGGGTTAAGTGACTTGCCCACAGTCACACAGCTAGTAAGTCTGAGGCCGGATTTGAACTCAGGTCCTCCTGACTTCAGGGCCAGTGCTCTATCCACTGCACCACCTAGCTGCCCCAAGCTCCTTTCTTTTAAAGGGGTAGACATGCACAGAGGAGCCCAATTGATCTGGTCAGATGCCCCACCACATGATCACAAGGCTGTGACTCTAACTTCATTCCATTTCATCTTCCTGTGTTCTTCTTTTCAGCCCGTGTCCCCAAGAAAATCCTCAAGTGTAAGGCAGTGTCTCGGGAGTTGAACTTTTCTTCAGCAGAGCAGATGGAAAAATTCCGCTTGGAACAAAAAGTGTATTTTAAAGGGCAGTGCCTAGAAGGTACTTTGTCATTGGCTGGTTTGAGGGGAAGGGGGTAACCCTGGTGAGCCAGAGCAGTTCTTGGGGGCCAGTGTGGACAATGGGAAGAGCCCTAGAACCTCAGCACGACTCTCAGCTGCCCTTTTGACATTCAAGTCCCTTCCCCTTCCTGGGTCTTAGTTTTCTGTCCTGTAAAATGAGGGGCTTGCTCTGCATGAGTCCTCGGTCCCATCCAGCTACAGGACCACGAGCCTGCTTTGGTCCAACAGGAGCCAGGAAGCTCTTTGGGTCAAAGTCTACACCCAGAACAAGGGAGCCACACCAAAATTAATGAAAGTCTTTGGTGATGGTGTTGGGTGGTCAGGACGTCCTGTCTACTCCTTCCACCTCCTCCCAAAAAGAAAATTGCTTGATCACACACAGACTAGCAACTGTAAAGTGCTTTGAGTCCATCAAGCAAAAATGACTCTTGACACCAGTGGGCCTGCTTAGCTTTTCCCTGACGTTTGTTACTAATGCAATATTTGATTCTTAATGGTTGAAAAGGACGCTTTTTGTGGGGTGTAGGGCTCTGTTATTTTACCAAACAAACAGTGTATGTGTGTGTGTGAAATAGTGAGAGTTGTAATTCCAAGTGAAGAGGCCCAATTCTGTATCCCACCAACTGGGGGCTATCTGCTCCAGATACAGTGCCTGGGGTCATTTGGCTGGGTCTTTAAAAAGTCGGCCAGGAAGAAGTCAGGAGCCCTTTCCCAGCACACCTGCTCAGCCTGGCTTCTCCTTCCTCCTTCAGAGTGGTTCTTCGAATTCGGCTTCGTGATTCCTAATTCCACAAACACCTGGCAGTCCTTGATAGAGGCAGCGCCAGAGTCCCAGATGATGCCAGCAAACGTCTTAACGTGAGTGGGCAGGTCTTAGGAAATGGACCGAGAAGCCAGGATTCCTGGAAAAGCGGGTGGGAGCCTGGGCCAGTAGGTGAGAGATGAGAGAGACTAGCAGAGAACACCTAGGATCGTTAGGATGTATGTTTTAGGTTGCTGAAAGGACAGAATCTTCCTCCCTTTGACCTTTCTGAACCTCATCCATCCTATGTGGTAGGGGCTGCCTGTGACAGCATCTGACAAAGCCCCTACTAAGTTTTACAGTGTTTTTGAACCTGGACTTGGTATCTGGGACTGTCACTTGGCAGTTTACGTCAGCCCAAGGTACAGCCAGCCCATTGTTCAAAGACCCTGCCAAACCTTTTGTCTGTTTCTCTTGAGGAAGATTTCTTTCTCTTGCAGAGTGCCTGTCACTTACCCAGCTGAGCTGATAGGGGAGGCCAGATAATCCACTGACAATAAAACTATGTTGTGTTTTAAGGAGCCTCAGAAATAGCTTTCTAAATTCTTATCAATCCATCATGCTTTGAGTTCCCACTTTGCCCTTGGCATTGGCTTCCACCAGTAATGCTTTGGTGTGTGGGAATCAAAAAGCATCAGTAAGTAGTCTGTAAAACCACAGGAGTGGGCAGGACGTATATTCTCGGTTCAGTTAAAAATTCTTCTCTGCCCACTGCCTGACTGAGACCAGGTCTCATTTACTCTTGAGGCCTATAAGCCTCCCAATGACTGCCCTGGGGAAATAAAATTACGACTCCCTTCCTCGACCTCAGGGCCTCTTAGATGCTGGAAAAAGTGAGCTACTAGCTTGTGTGGGAGATGAACAGCTCTTAGCTCGCCTCTGGATCACAGAATGTCAGAGCTAGAAGGGACTTCAGGGGTCATTTCATGCCTCATCTGGCTCAAATGGGGACCCTCAGACCCCACCAGGAGGGAGGAGAGAGATATCATTTAATCTCTGTGTACCTTCCTTTCCTCCCTTTGCATAATGAAGGTGTAGAGTATACTGATTCTGCCCCCTTTCACTGCACAGAGATCCATCTTCACACACACACACACAGAGTCCCTTTGTACCGTTTTATGCTTTCATACCAGGGAAGAGGGGGTGCTCTCTTCCTACCCCTCCCTGGGGGGAGCCTGCAAGCCCACAGATGATGACCCTTTGGCTAGCAAACCTTCCTGTCTCCAGTTTGTGCTGCCTGAAGCCAGAGTGACCAGGGTGCTCCATCCATTTAGGAAAGGTTGCCTGGGGCCCCCTGCCCTTCTGTTCTCTAACATCCCCTCTCCTCTCTCTGTCACTGTCTCTTCCCTGTTGTCGGCACAGTGGGAATGTAATCATAGAGACCAAGTTCTTCGACGATGACCTCCTCGTCAGCACGTCCAGAGTGAGACTTTTCTACGTCTGAAAGAAGGGTGTGTGTGTATTTCCAGGATTGGGGTTTGGGTTTTGGTTTTTGGGGTGGGGGGAGGGAAGGGAGCTGTTTTACTTTCCTCCACACCCCCTTTTCTGGCACCACCACCTCTGACTCCCTCTGGCACACAAGACCTGCATCGCCCCGGCCAACCGGCTCTGTGGAGGCAGCCAGCTGGGCTTTCCCCACCTGGTGCCCAGCCTCCACTGACCAGCCCAACCCCCCACCCCAGAACAGGACAAGGAGGGGAGCCGAGAGCCCTGTCCAGTTGTAAATACAGTTGGATGAACACTGACCAGGAGCCCGCCTTGTGAATGGCATCTTCCTGCTCCGGCTCCCCTCAGCCCCACTGGCACCACTTCTTTCTCGGCCCCTGCTTTTGGATAGAATTCATTTTCCAGCCCCATGTTTAGCTTTCATTGTTTCATATGTCTTCATACACTTGTAAAATAGACTGTGATATTATTACATAATGTAATTAAAACCAATTTATGAATTAAAATGTTCCTATAGTCCTCAGCATGGCAGTGTTTTCATCTCTGCTTTTTTCCTTCTGGTACCCACAGTGTTTGATGATGGAGATGGGGATCTTTGGGAGGGCAGATTCAGTAGAGAAGTGAAGCCATGGGGCAAAAGATGGAAGAAGGAGTGGCCATAGAGCTAATGTGAGGAGGTAGGAAGGAAGAAAAAGAAGGGATGATAACTGGACCTAGCCCAAAGGGAGGGCTGGCATGGAGGCAAAGGGGTTTTTAGACAGAGGGAAAGGAGGGGAGAAGATGTGTGTGAGGATGATCGATGGGACAGCGTCCCTGACGGGGGTCACCATAGGACCAGGTGAAGGAGTTAGTCTTAGAAAGGTGGAAAGCCATCTCTGCCCCCAAATGAAAGAGGTGTGTGTTTAATGAGCTTTGGAGGCCACAGAACCGCAGATTTAGATCTGAAGGGACCTCAGAGGTCATCCAGTCCTGCGCTTCATTTGAAGGATGGAGCTGAGATCCAGAAGGACTGCACCAGAGGTCAAAGGGCAATCATCGTCAGAGCCGATATCGAAATTCAGGCCACCAGACCACAGCGTGGGGGATGGGATGGAAGGAGGTTATGGAAAGCATTGGAGAATGAAGTAGGAGGCAAGGGCAGGGCTGGAGTGGAAGGGAGTGGGAGCTTTTTTTGGAATAGCCCCTCAGAGAATTTGAAAGGGAGTCAATAAGTGAGGGACAGAAGGAATGGTTCTAGAGTTTTCTCTAAGAATGGTGGAGCCATGCAGTCAGTGGGGTGCTAGAGCCAGCTCCTCGACAAGTCGTTAAGTGGTCAGTGGGTCTGATGTATTGTCAGTTTTCTGGGCTCAATTAAAAAAGCAGTGTGGGGCAACTAGGTGGCGCAGTGGATAGCACCTTGACACTTATTGGCTGTGTGACCCTGGGCAAGTCACTTAACCCCAGCTGCCTCAGCAAAAAAAAAGAAGAAACTGTCGATGATGCTGCCATAACTTTTTTCTGGAGAGGCCATTGCCAAATATTTACCAGCATCCACTGCATCCAGTGGAGGCTTCCTGGCCAGAATAAGTGTCAAAGATACCAAAAGGATGGGGAATTGTGGGCAGCTAGAGGGGGCATTACCCAAATAGCCGACCATGGGGTCTGCCAGGCTGCATGGTGGGGGGACCGGAAATGAGCCACCGAATTGGTAATGAAATTACCTAGAGTTAGGGCAAGGCTGGTAGGCAGGAGGAGGGGAAGGGGGAGCTCCATGGGTGGTGTGACCATGGGCCTTCCTGGGAGAGAGGTGTTGGAGGGTGGAGAAAAGACCCAGGAAGTGGGGGTGGTTGAAGAGGAGAGCGGGGACGTGGTGGGGACTGCCTCAGGCTGGGCAGGCATCCTTGTAACTGAGGGTCATCCTTGTAACTACAAATAATGGGTACAGGAAGCAGGCGGAGGGGAGGAGAGCTGGGGGGACGCGAGAGGGCCGCAGGTTGATTTAGTCATGTCAGAGATATAGAACTGACCTGCCCCAGGGTCTGATCCCATAATGCATGTGTCAGCCTGTGAGCTGGGCACTAGCTGAGGGAAGAAGGGAGGGCAGGAGCCAAAATGGGGTAGCTCCGGAAGTGCTTAGATGGGCCCAACTCCTCGGTCTGGGCCCTCGATGACCGGCCGGCAGGATGGCAGTGTACCGTCACCTGAAAGAGATCTCACAGGGAGAAGCTTGTTTGGGCCTGGGGAAAGTGACAAGTTCCATTTCAGACAGCGTGTGGGGCACCACCCTCTCTCTGATGGGACCACCTGCTCTCCTCACCCCTCTAAAGCACAGTGTTGGGAGAAAAGTAGGCCTGTGCCTCCTGGGACTTCAAGAGGAGGACGGAAACGAGAGAATTGGAGCTCAGAAGAGAAACCAGGCTTCACTCCACATGGGCTTCACTCAGGAGCGCCACGGGTGCCTAATTAATACTCGGACCGAGTCATCGTGTGTCCAAGATGCAGCTTTGGCTTGTCTTCACACTTCTCCGAGTTAATTTGGAGCTTTTGCCAATGCCTGGAATATCTTTTTTGTGGCCTCTAGCAAAGCATCAAGAAGCCTGGTCCAGGTGGGGCCTCGGCAACTCTGGTGTGACATCGAGTCTGCCCAGATGCCCCGTTGGAGAGGCCAGCGGGAGGCAGCAAGACCAGGCTGAGGAGGGCCGATGGCCTGGCCCTAGAGCATCCGGCTCTGGTTGGAGTCTAGGATTAGGAGTCTGACCAGGCAGCCCAGGAGTGGGGGGAGCAGACACCAGATCACACAGGGGAGGCCAGGCCAGGAGTCTGTACTAGGGAGGTAAGACAGAGCTGAGCCAGCCAAGTGAAGGCAGAGCCAAGGATGAGAGTCCAGGGGCCCGAGGGGCGAGCCAGAGGAGCAGCCTGGGCAGAGATAAATTGTCCTCCACGTTGTGCTGAGCTCCTGCTGCCCCCAGCCCATCACAGTGCTCTGTCACAGACCCCAGGGTGTGAATGTGTATCTCGTGTGCCTGGGTTGGTCCCAGGCCCAGCCCTCCACACTCTATCCTTTCTAAATCCACCAGATTCTGAGAGTGAGTAGAGCTGGGAACATGCTGCTACTGCTGCTTCCTGTGCCGGGTGCCCACTTATCTTGGGGCAAGTCACCTAACCTCTGTAGCCTGCAGTTTCCCCATCTGAACTGGACAAGATGCCCTCCAGTGTCCCTCCCAGCCCTAAATCTATGACCCCGTGATCTGTCCTGGTAGCAGGAGTACCAGGAGAGGGATTGGCTTGATGTAAGTCTGGCAGAGACTCAGAGAAAATGGGTCAGATTCAGAATGAGAGGAGAGAACTTAGGGTCGAAGGCTCCTGGGGTCACTGCCAGATGGGAAGGAGCCCGGCTGCCCTAGAGGCCCACAGAATGACCGAACCACAGGAGGGCCCCTCAGAGTCGACATTGTGGATCTCCCAAATGGCGAAACCCTCTGGCTGATGGGGTGTTTGCAGGCAGCCGTGGCCTTTTGAAACATGACTGGCACATCGAGTCATGCAGTGAACATTTCTAAATGCCCACTCTGGCATTGTACCATGTGTGCTAAGCCCTGGCAGAGATCCAGAGATAACTAAGACAGGGTCCTAGCCCTGAAGGAGCCAGACGGTCACCTTGGGCTGCCTGGGGAGTTGTCAACAGCTGGGATCCAGGTGTGGGCAGGAGGCACCGGGGGGGTGGGGGAAACCTGAGTTTGTACCTGGGCCCTGACGGATTGCTCGAGAGCAGGGCTCTGTGGGCCTTTGGGTACAGCCAAGGGCTGTACATAGAATGTAAACACACAGAATAAAATGCGTAGGGTCACCAAGGAAACTAAAGGTTAGTAGGAACCAAGAGGTCATTTTTCCCACTTAAACCCAGGGGTTTGGTTGCTCTAAAGGTCACAGACCCCCTGACATTTCTCTACAGATCCTGTGAGCCCCAGGTTAAGAACCCCCAGAGGGAAGCCTTTGTGAGACTGAACATGTGGGATGAGGGCAGGGGCCAGAGAGCCAAGGAGAGTCTGAATGTGGCCTCCCAGGAGGGTGTGTCACTACCTGCCACCCCATAGTCTGTCTCCATCATGGATGGAGCTTGTGGAAAGGGGGCAGACAGAGGGGGCTGGAGGCGAAACGGTGATTGGGTTCCATTCTAGGGTCCTGGGCTGGGAGAGCCAGACAAGACTGGTGTCCATGTAGGCCAGGAGAGGGGCATGCAGGTGGCCCTCCAGGAGAGTCCACGGGGGCAGCTGGAGGGACTGTCACAGTAAAGAAGCGCATGGTGTCACCTACCCAGCAAAACTGAGTATCATCTTTCAGGGGAAAAAATGGTCATCCAGTGAAACAGGGGACTTTAAAGCATTCTTGATGAAATGACCAAAGCTGAAAAAGTTTGACTTTCAAATACAAGACTCAAGAGAAACATGAAGAGGTTAAACAGGAAAGAGAAATCATAAGAGACTTATTAAGGTTAAACTGTTTACATTCCTGCATGGAAAGATGATATTTGTAACTCATGAGACCTTTGTCAGTATTAGGGTAGTTGGAGGGAAAAAATTATATGTAGATAGATAGGTAGATAGATAGATAGATAGATAGATAGATAGATAGATAGATAGATAGATAGATAGATGGCACAGGGTGAGTTGAAGATGAAGGGGTGATATCTGGAGAATAAAATTAAGGGGTGAGAGAGGATTATACTGGGAGAAGGAGAAAGGGAGAGGTAGAATGGAGTAAATAATCTCACATGAAACAGATAAGAAATGGCTTTTACAGTGGAGGGGAAATGGGGGAAAGGTGAGAGGGAATGAGTGAATCTTATAGGGTTTGGTTTAAGGAGGGAATAACATACACACTCAATTGGGTATGGAAATCTGTCTTACCCTACAGGAAAATAGGGGGGAAAGGCGACAAGAGAGCAGGGGGATGATAGAGGGAGGGCAGATTGGGAGGGGGTAATCAGAAGCAAACACTTCTGAGGAGGGACAGGGTCAAAAGAGAGAATAGAATAAATGAGGAGCGGGATAGGATGTAAGGAAATATACTTAGTTTTTCACAACATGACTACCATGGAAGTGTTTTGCATGACTACACATGCATAACCTGTATCAAGTTGCTTGCCTTTTCAATGAGGGTGGGCGGGGAGGGAGGAAGGGAGAAAATTTGGAACCCAGAGTTTTAAAAACACATGTTAAAAAAATTGTTTTCATATGCAACTGGGAAATAAGAAATACGGGAAATGGGGTCTAGAAATCTATCCTGCCCTACAGGAAAATAGAAAGGGAAGGGGATGAGAGAAGGGGGGCGGAGAGGTAGAAGGGAGGGCAGATTAGGGGAAGGGGTATACAAAATGCATGCCATCTTGGGGTGGAGGAAGGGATGAGATGGGGAGAATATTTGGAATTCAAAATCTTGTAGAAGTGAATGTTGAAAACTAAAAATGAATAAATTAAAAAAAAAAGTGCATGGTGGGGGCAGCTAGGTGGTGCAGTGGGTAGAGTACTGGCTCTGGAGTCAGGAGGA